TGTGTGATCTACAATAATAATCTGCTTTGTGTTGATATTTATTGCTGTGTTACTGACAATTACCTGAAAGAGAAGTTGGGGTGCTTCAGTGGGCTGGAAAAAGTTTAGCTAAATCAGAAAGCACATCTAATTAAGCAAGTTTATTCTCTATATATAAAAGGCTAAGTTGACTCGCGCATGCGCGATACATATAAAGCTCTCGCTGGTGCCAATCGCATGCATGTGTTTCGATCTGTCATTGTTGGTCGTGAATTTGGTTGACACTTCTATTATAGAGAAAGGGTGAATAGTGATATTAAAATATTTCTTCTAATTAATTTCCTTTCAATGTGCACGAATCTGTGCACCGGGCCACTAGTATTTAATAACTGTCTAATAGTTTTCACCCACTTGCATTTGGCACTTGATATAGTATCCTATCAATTTAAAGATTATGCCACTGATTTAGGGTAAATCAAAACTATGTGAGGTTATTTTTCTAGTACCAATGATAGATTTTGTTTTTATTTAGGCTGGTAAATTTTTATAAAGTGACTGTTCAGAGTTCTTAGGGGTGAAAGTTAGACATGGCCTTTCCCCTCTTAGAGTTATCATGTTAATGTGGTCAATCTCATCACAGACAGTACAGGAAGAACCAATGGTAGAATATTTACTTTGTTTAGCAATATAAAGCATTACTGTTGGCATTCTGTGTAGACAGACAATAAGTGCCCCTTTTCCTGCCTTGTAGACCCTTACAACAACTCACCTTTTTTCCACCTTACCCTAAACATTATTGAAATATGGCATCTTTGTAGTATGTAAAGTGGAAGTAGTAGTGTGGAAATTGATTATATTTACATTAAAATAATCAGCTAAGAAATTCAGAAGTGAACTTAGCACCAAGATTTTAAAAATTAATGTATACATAGCTTATTTTAATGTTGGAAAAACATGTTTTCATATATATGTATATGTACATATATTAGAATGGAGGGAACCATATTCAATTTAACATTTATTGAGTGTCCTGAGTATTTAATATTGAATCACAAAAAATGTCTGACTTCAAAGATTTGGATGAATATATGGGGCATAACACGGAAACGTCCCTAAATAGAAGTAGCCCAGCTGGAAGTCTACTAGTTTAAGAACATTTATGCTGTTGTTCTGGTTATTGCTACATCACAAACCACTCCAAAACTTAATGGCCTTAAATGATATATTATCTCTCTCAGGTTTGGAGACGGCCTCAGTTGCTCTCAATTGGGGTCCCTCATTCTATTGCAGTTAGATGACGTCTGAGGCTAGAGTCATCTGGAGGCTCTGCTCACATATTTCGTACCTTTACTGATATGGACAGAACCTGAGGGCAGATCCGGCAACTCCAGACAACCTCCTGACATGACTGGTTTGGACACTCACAAATTGAGTCCCAGGGTAGATGGACTTAGTACACGCAGCTAGCTTCACACACACACATCCTCCCGAGCAAGACTTCTCAGAGACCCAAGTGAAAGATTCAAAACTTCATAGGACCCAACCTTGGAAACTACCCAGCATCACTTCTCCTTTGTCAAAACTGTCATAGACAAGATCAGGTTCAGAGGCTGACTGCTTACACTCCATTTCTCAGTGGAGAAATGACCCAGTTACCACCCAGCTACCCTTCTGTATTCAAAGAGAAGGAAGATTTCTGCTTTGACATAGTAAGCAGTTAGACAGACATGAAGAGTAGGAGCCATCAGCCAGGTACAGAAGGTCACCAGGATGGAAAGCCCCAGATGCAAGGGACAAAACTGGGAATGCAAGTGTGTAGGGGGGACTCGCCCCCAGGGTGATCTTTCTTTCCCTAGCATATCACCAGTTATGTATTTTAGACACTCCCCCCGACCCCCAACTTTCATATCGCTGGTCATGTGGCTTGTACCTTTCCTCCCCTGGCATGTGACTACTCATGTGGTGGACCCCCTTAGAGAAGGAACAAGGGGGCCGGAAAATAGCCTTATCCAACTCCCATACAAGCCCTTGAACAACCACTCCCTTAAGCATGAAGCCCTAAGGACAATGAGGTTCTGACCCACATCAAATAATCTTAGCAACAAAGATGAGTCTGTTGACCACAGAGACAGAGTTTCATCATAACAGAGATAACATCAAGGCCTCAGTTGTGTTTCAGCTCCTGGCCCAGAAAAGCAGCAAAACCAGTTGAAACAATGCCATGGCTGACATCCGTGCCAACTGCAATGACTAGTGCCGACCAATTAGAGACCATGAGCCTGAAAGGACACACCTGGAAAGCTGATGAACATTCTATTGGATCCTCTCCTGATACCTCCCCTAAAATCCCTGCCTTTGGTAAACAGATAAAAGCCCTTAGGATGAAGGACCCAGCTCCCTCTCCGTCTCCCCCCCCCCACCCCAGTCTCTCCTATGCCCCTGCCTTTTCCACCACCTTCCCTCCGCCACTGTTGTCTCTCTCAAGCACACCTGCATCTTCCTCCTTTCTTCCCTCAAGGCTGTAGCTTTGCTTTCCAAAATCTCCTAAGCTCCAAGGACTCTTCTTTTGCCTCTGTAACTTGTTTCCCTCTACCCTTCAGAGTTCTTGGCTGAGTCCCCTGTAATAAAAGACAGATTAACCAGAGAAAAAGAAAACAGATTTATTAACGTGTACCTGGGAGAGACCTAGGGGAAAATTAGTAATTCCTTGAGGTTGCTTAGAATTCAGGCTCAAATACCATAAGAAAGGGAGACAGGGATGTAATGCAGGCCTCTTAGGGGCGAGTAAATGATTTTTAGGAAAGATTAGTGAGCCCTTAGAAGAATTGATAGGAGACATGATAATTTGTGACAAAGTTTGTCTGGGTGTGGTGTCCACCTCAACTGTCAAAACTCCTGGACTGGGGATTTATGACAATTGAGTCC